ATCGTGTGAAGCAAAACGGATCTAAAATCTGTGGAGCAACAATGGTGTTTCTGTTAACAGTCGCGGAATTTGGCCTCTCTCTGCTGCTGATCGTCTTCTCAGGATTTCTCTCCGTCGTCGTTTTCGAAGCTTGGAGAAGGAGACACAGTAACGTGTACGTTCACTCAATCCCAGGCGCTTTGCTTTTGTTCCGATTTTCTGGGGGAAAAACATTGATTGATTTATTTGTTTTTGAAAATTTCTTAGTTGTGTAGAGACCGTGATTGCTCTCGAGGATCCGAAATCCTTAAAACAGGTATCATCTGATTCATTCTCGTTTCGGATTCATTTTGCTGGTATAGTGTGGCATATAACGATGGTTTTGAGAATTAGTTGTTTTAGTGAATGGAACTGAGATTTCCTTGAAAAAATGTCTTACATTGGCGATTTGAGTACTTGATTCCAGTTTTGTTGGACCGTTTAAGTAGAGAGCTTTCGACATTATGTAGGAACTGGTCTAGCTAGCCACTTCTGTGTCAAAGTTGGCTTTTTTTTCAGTGGCTATGAATGATGAAGCTTCACATTCAGCCGTTTGTAAATGTAGACTTCAAGGGGGAGCTGTTCCCGTAGGTTTAGCGATTTCTGTATCACATGTTACATTTTGGTTTGGCGAAGAAGCTTGAAAAGTTTGAGTGGTATAATGCTAGATTAGCTGGTCGTGTGAAAGTTGAGTCGTCGAGATACAGACTCTGGACACTATTAGGTTAGTGTGTCAACAGAAAAGATTAGCAGCTCCCTTATGCTTCTCCATCGAATCACAAAAATCAGCGGTTTGTCTTGTCAATCATGACGAGTTTGATATGCTCTATGCCTCTCTCTATCATATTAGCCGGTATCTGGCATTTCGCTGAGATTGAGGAATCCGTTTTTTCCGCTTTAATCTGACTCTGTTTTTCAAACTTCATCATCAGATTCCTTGCCCTCATATCACTGATCCTGCCGAGAAGTATTTGTCATTAATAGTTCCAGCATTTAACGAAGAGCAGAGACTTCCTGCAGCTCTTGAGGAAACAATGGAGTGAGTTAAAATACGTTCACTTCTTTACATTCGCCCCTTTTTCGGGATTGTGTACATGCTCCATTTGCGAGAAGTTTGCTTCTCTTGCAAACAGCAGCACAAGTCTTCTTTATGCATACTGCAGATACATAATTGTAATTCCCCTGTGGTTTGCAGTTACCTTCAAGGTCGTGCATCACGGGACAAGAGTTTTTCTTTTGAGGTATATAGCTTCCAAACGTTCTTTTTTTATATCTCTTTCAAACTCATTAAGGTTGATTTTTAACCTAAATTTGGCCTTAGTTATGGTGACTATGAATGAGGTTTTCAATGTTTTTGTCTCTAAAATTAAAGTACCTAGCTCTATTGGAAACAAGTAATGCCCACAATTTACTAGTCTATCAATATCATGCTGAATCACCCAGTTAAGCTTCATCGTCTTCCTTCTATATGCATGAGTGGAGTATTTTTTTTGTTTTCTAGGTGGTGATTGTTGATGATGGAAGTGTTGATGGAACAAAAAGAGTGGCATTTGATTTCGTTAGAAAGTATACAGTTGATAACATTAGGGTTATACCCCTTGGGAAGAATCAAGGGAAAGGAGAAGCTATAAGAAAAGTGAGTTCAACTCCTAGTAGGATACAGCTCTATTTATTTATTCTCTGGCAGTGATTTGAGTATTTACTTACTATCTCATCATAGAAAGAGAAAATTAATTGAAGCTTTCTACTTTTTGAAAGCATCAAATAGGGAATGATGCATTCTCGTGGTGAGCTACTTCTCATGTTGGATGCTGATGGAGCAACTAAAGTAACAGACCTAGAAAAGCTTGAAAATCAGGTTTGCCTAAGTTTTGACTAATAAAAACTCAGACAATCTGGAAACTGTGTTACAAATTTCCTGATGTCCTATAGCCTCTCAGATCCATGCAGTAGCCAGAGAAGAAAAGTCAATCAGAGATCCTGCATCAAAGCATGTGGATTTTAGAATAGGTGATGTGCAAGTATCTGCATTTGGTTCTCGTGCTCATCTTGAGGAGAAAGCTCTTGCTACAGTAAGTTTTGTAAACGTGTGCATATGCATGTATCGTCATAGATAATTGACTTCAGTCTATTGATTTCAGAGGAAATGGTATCGCAACTTTTTGATGAAGGGTTTCCATCTTGTGGTTCTATTAGCTGCTGGTCCTGGAATTCGGGATACACAGGTGGCTTTATTATCTCATTTATTGCTTCCTTCTGCTGTGGATGTAAATTGCTCTGTTTCACTGAGACATGTTCTTAACTAAACATCGTTTTCCGCAGTGTGGTTTCAAGATGTTTACCAGAGCTGCTGCTAGAAGACTTTTCACAAACATCCATCTGAAAAGGTATGCATATTGAATCGACGATGATGATGATGTTACTAGCAGTAGAAACATCAATAAGAAGTATCCCATTTGAATTGGTCTCTGCGCAGGTGGTGCTTTGATGTTGAATTGGTGTTCTTGTGCAAACGTTTTAACATCCCAATGCTCGAGATCTCTGTGAACTGGTCTGAAATACCCGGGTCTAAAGTCAGTATGTTGAGCATTCCAAACATGGTGTGGGAGCTTGCTTTAATGTCTGTGGGATACAGAACTGGCATGTGGAAGATCCATCACGCTTGATAACTCATCGACAATATACACAAAACATTTTTCTTCTCGGGAAAAAATTACTCGATCCATACGGGTTTACAGAGAGGAAATATCACTTCTGATGTCTTCTGATCAAGCAAAAAGGAAAGGTATTGGTTATGGAAAATTTGTTGGGTCTTTCCTTTCAATAGATGTAATAATACTCTTAATCAGATTAGTAACAACTCTCAAATGACTATGCTCTCTACTCTGAATTTTACATCTCCTTAATGGCATGAGTCAAAAGATCTCTCCACCTTCAAGTCCAATTTCTTAGCTAAGAATTTCTTAAGAAAGAAAGAAGAAAATGCTACACTGATCTCTAATCAGAAATTGAAAACATTTACAACTAAACTACCTAACCGTTAATTTAACAGTCTGTGTGACCGTTGACAACGAAGAAGACGAGAGAAACCTGAAATTGATCTTCGTCGCCGGTGGACATGCCAATTACTAGCACCGTGCTCCTCCGTATGCTCCGGGGATGTAAGAACTTCCGATGTCTTCTTCAAGTTCACGGTAGCTTGATCGTTTCAGGTCTTAAACCCTATAACCAGCTCGTAAACGCTTATTCTCTCTTTCAAAGGCCCGACCTTTCTCGCATCATCTTCGATTCAGTTCAAGACCCAGGTGTTGTTTTGTGGAATTCCATGATCAGAGGATACACAAGAGCTGGTTTGCATAGAGAAGCTCTCAAATTCTTCGGTTACATGTCAGAGGTGAAAGGTATGGAACCAGACAAGTACACTTTCACTTTTGCTTTGAAAGCTTGTGCCGGATCTATGGACTTTGAGGAAGGTTTACGAATACATGATTTGATTGTGGACATGGGTTTTGAGTCTGATGTTTATATAGGGACTGCTTTAGTTGAAATGTATTGTAAAGCTGGGGACTTGATTTCTGCTAGACAAGTGTTCGATAAAATGCCTGAGAAGGATATAGTTACTTGGAACATTATGGTTTCCGGGATGGCTCAAAATGGATGTCCTGGTGAAGCCTTGCGGTTGTTTCGTGATATGCATTTGAGTTGTGTTGATATTGATCATGTTAGTATGTATAATCTGATCCCTGCGGTTTCAAAGTTAGGGGACAATGGTGTGTGTAGATGTCTTCATGGATTTGTGATAAGGAAAGGTTTTGCCTCTGCTTTCTCTAATGGGTTGATTGACATGTATTGCAAATGCGGGGATTTATGTGCTGCTGAATGCATCTTTGAAGAAGTGTGGAGCAAAGATGACTCTTCGTGGGGAACGATGATGACAGCTTATGCACACAGTGGGTCCTTCGAGGAGGTATTGAAGTTGTTTGATCGTATGAAACACTATGATGTTAGAACAAATAAGGTAGCTGCAGCAAGTGCTCTTCAAGCTGCTGCATATGTAGGGGACTTGGAGAAGGGGATTTCAATTCATGAATATGTAGTGCAACAAGGAATGATGAGTGATGTCTCGGTTGCAACTTCTCTTATTAGTATGTATGCCAAATGTGGTGAATTAGAGATAGCGGAACAATTGTTCTTAAATATTAAAGATAGAGATGTCATTTCTTGGTCTGCCATGATTGCTTCGTTTGAGCAAGCAGGTCAGCACGATGACGCGCTCTCTTTGTTCAGGGATATGATGACAATACATGTCAAGCCTAATGCTGTAACTTTGACAAGTGTGCTTCCAGCTTGTGCAGGAATCGATGCCTCTAGATTGGGTAGGAGCATACATTGTTATACGATAAAAGCTGATATTGATTCTGAGTTGGCAACTGCCACAGCTATCATTTCAATGTATGCTAAATGCGGTCTCTTTGCTCCTGCGCTCAGAGTTTTTGAAAGACTGCCAATTAAAGATGCTGTAGCATTCAACGCTCTTGCACAAGGCTATACCCAGATTGGTGATTCTGCTAAAGCATTTGATGTGTACAATAACATGAAGTTACATGGAGTATGCCCAGATTTAGGAACTATGGTTGGTATGCTTCAAACTTGTGCACTCTGTAGTGACTATGATCGAGGTTCTTGTGTCTACGGGCAAATTATAAAGCATGGGTTTGATTCAGAATGTCACGTTGCACATGCTCTGATTGGTATGTTCACCAAATGTGATGCCCTCGCTGCAGCAAAATCCTTGTTTGGCAAGTGTGGATTCGAGAAAAGTACTGTATCTTGGAATATAATGATGAATGGGTACTTACTCCATGGCCAAGCTGAAGAAGCTCTTGCCGCTTTTCATCAGATGAAGGTTGAGAATTTTCAGCCAAACACAGTCACATTTGTTAACATCTTACACGCAGCAGCACAATTAGCAGCGTCGCAAGTAGGAAAGTCGGTTCAAGCCAATCTCCTTCGGTTTGGACTTTGTTCCCACACGCTCATAGGAAACAGTCTAGTTGACATGTACGCGAAATGTGGAATGCTAGGATATTCCGAGAGATGCTTTAAAGAGATAAGAAACAAAGACATGGTTTCATGGAACACAATGCTATCTGCTTACGCAGCCCACGGTCTAGCAAGCTGTGCGATCTCGCTCTTCTTGTTCATGCAAGAAAACAAACTCAAACTAGACTCTGTTTCCTTTCTCAGTCTTCTTTCAGCTTGTAGACATGCGGGTTTAGTTGAAGAAGGAAAGCAAATATTCAAGGAAATGGAAGAGAGACACAAGATCAAAGCAGAAGTCGAACATTACGCGTGTATGGTTGATCTATTAGGGAAGGTTGGTTTGTTTGGCGAAGCTGTGGAAATGGTGAGAAGAATGAGAGTGAAAGCAAGTGTAGGAGTATGGGGAGCTTTATTGACTTGTTCAAGAATGCATTGTAATTTATGGTTAAGTAATGCTGCATTGTGTCAACTTGTTAAACTTGAACCACTTAATCTTTCTCATTATGATCAAGAATGGAGATTAAGAGAGGCTAATGATGGAACAAGAATGAAGAAAGTTCTTGCTTGTAGTTGGATCCAAGTTTAAAAAATACCTTTATCTTTGGTTATTCGTCTTCTAGGCCATGTGGATTTTCACTGTATATGTAATCTGTATACTTCTTATTTTGTGCAAAAACAATCTGTATAAACTGTGTATAATCCGTATAAGATTTTGAGAATACACCAGATTATGTTTTGAGTAGTTAAATATTTTAATATACGGTGTAAGGCAACAAGGGTTCATAGCTCAGTGGTAGAGCAATTTAAAGAGAAATTAGGGCTTGTTTATCAATTCTGCTTATATAAGATCAATTAGGTTTTCTATTTTCTTCTCCATCGAAAAGCCCTAGCCCCTAGCTTTTGAAAACTCACTCTGCTATTATTCTCGCATAACTTCTTGTAAGTTCTGATTTTTCATAAGTTATCATTTCTTTTAGATTGTTTTATTTTTTTTTTAATATAGTTCTTAGTTATGTATACGTTTGTTGAATTATTAGATTCCCAAGTTATACACTTTGCATAATAGTTATGAATCTCTCTTTATATTTTAGAGTAGAATTTGATTCAGAAAATATCTTTTAATCTCTGTATTATGATTTTTGTAATGATTCTTATGTGTCACACACATGTCATGACTCTCATCTTGGTACAAAAAAAGAAATTGATTAGGGTTCAATTTTCTTGCCTGAAATTGTGCAGAAGCAATAATGGTGAGGACTAGCGTGGCGAACGATGCTCTTAAGAGCATTTGTAATGGAGAGAAAAAAGGGAAACGTCAAGTCATAATCAGACCATCTTCCAAAGTGATCATTAAGTTTCTCACTGTCATGCAAAAACATGGTAAAACTTTGAAGCACAAACCTTTTTTCCTTTGTGGGTTAATTTTTCACTTTTTTGACTTTTAAAAACACAAAACATTTTCCTTTTTTGTGTGTATATATATAGGTTACATTTCAGAGTTTGAATATGTGGACAATCATAGATCAGGTAAGATTGTTGTTGAGCTTAATGGAAGGCTTAACATATGTGGTGTTATCAGTCCTCGATTCGATGTTGGTGTCAAGGAAATCGAAGGATGGACTGCTAAATTACTCCCTTCAAGACAGGTGAGAAAGAAAACCATTCTTTTCGTATTGATGGTTTTACTTGAATAATCCAGTGAGACCAATCGATGTTTTTTTGTTATTGTGATTACTGATTAGTACTATGTGATTATCTAACAAACTAATGTGTATAATGAAATTGAGCAGTTTGGGTACATAGTCTTGTCTACATCAGCTGGAATCATGGATCATGAAGAGGCTAGGAGGAAAAGCGTTGGTGGCAAAGTGATTGGTTTCGTCTACTAAATGGAGATTTTTGTCTTTTGCATTTTACATTTATTATTATTATTCTTTTCTTGCTGAGATTTGAGTTTTTGATTGGTACTTTGAGAAGCCACAAAGTTCTGTTTCTTATTTTGATCCTTTTGGGCCCAAGTTGTTTCATTGCTTTCTAGACTTGAATTCTTGTAGCCACAAAGCATTCGTTATCAACTTATTTGAATGGGAATCATTCTACATTAAAGAAATATATTTAAAAGCTTCTACTATTTAAAAAAAAAAAATAACTTCAGGACAGTTAACAAAAAAGCTTAAGCTAAAACGTGAACAAAATCAGAAGAAGAAAGGTCAAAAGTATAATTTGGTATTCACTTTTATACCATTTCAAAACTGTATTACCATTTCTTCCTCCCAAAATCCCCCTTTAACTATGTATATCCTCTCCTCTTAGTGTGTTTATATATCAAAAGGGGGAAACACACAAAGAAGAGTCAACTTTTCAAAATATTTCAATCCAGAGTGATTCCTTTCTTTTTCGCTGCTTCTTCGATTTCGATGCCTTTTCTCTCTTCTATACTTCTCGATACACTCCGATAACATCTCCATAACTTCACTGACATTGGATATACCGACACAGCTTTACTCAAGAATCTCTCAGCTCTTGTCTTGAAACCATTGATATTGCCCAATATTTCTCCAGCTTCTACCCATATGTACTCGGGAGCTACTGGTACGGCACAAGACATCGTGCTAACCAAATTCAGACCTGACCAGAATTGAATACCCGAGGAACCAGAATCCGGTTCTTTCATTAACAGCTTACTTACAGACAAAGCCAGCGGGTAATTGCACGGAACCAGCCCTAAGATTGTTTCCACAAAATCCACCAGTTCCTTTTGTTTGCTTAGCTTTACGGGTACAAGAGATGGTCCGTGCCATGCTTCGAGAGCCGCATTTACCACTAAGAATTCAGATGAAACTGGAGCCAGGAGATTACATACTAGCTTCCTCACTCTCGGTTTCTCAGTGCTGTTGCTGATGAATTTCCAGGACAGTGGCTCTTTTGCAGGTAAGGAACTAGCTCGGTCCAAATAAGAGTTGAGTAATCTCAGTTGTAGGTTGATTGAAAATTCACCTGTTGCTTGCAATTCATTGATTAACCGAAACACAGCATGTTCTCTCAGGCAGTGCATAAAATGCTCAGGAGCTGCAGCGTTTAGTGCTTCGTCAATGGCCGAGCTAGCCACTGTCCAGTTACTCTGCAGTAGATTATGGAGAGAGAGATTAAGATATCCAAACATCACATCTACCTGATCCGATGCAACATTCAGATCTGGTAAACCTGATTTCAGCAAACTCTCTTCACCTTGTTCTTCTTCATTAGCCACCACTGTCCTATTCTTAAAGGACAATACTTCCCATGCTGACACATACCAGCGGGACATGAGTTCTCTTGCCAAGTCGTAGCTTCCTCCTTGCAAAGCATCTTCAGCGTACTGATTCCAAATCAATTGTATGCCTGAAGCCTCTTTCGGTTCCTGCTTGAGAAGCTCTTCAAACACAGACGAAAACCTATCCTTCGATTCATTTCGTTGCATCCTAGCTGCTAACAATTTCAGCTCCAAGCAAGCTGGGTAGAGTTTAACGGATGCCTTCAAAATGTCCCTACATGTTTCTAACTCAGAAACTGCAATCATAAACAGGGTGTGGTTCAAAGCAAATAGCCCGGCAGTTCGCTCTTGTATTTCATTATCCGACAACCCATCGCTGGCACAAAGTTCTTCTGAACGCATCCCTTTATCAAATAGTGTGAGAGCCATCTGCTTCAGATCACCTACCAAATTAACTGAAGGCCATTCTATTTCTAGTAGTTCCTTCTCCATCTCAAGTCGTTGGACAACAGAATCAGGCAACTTCCTGTAAATAACTAAGTACACACAACAAATCCAGAACACACATTTGTCAGAATATGTTAAGCATGTCAGAATGTGAGACATCATTGAAAAGTCAGGGTCATCAGAAACTGCTGCTGAAGCCTGAAGCTTGGATATTTTCTGGATTGCCTTTGATACATTCCCAGAAATGCACAGTAGGTTGAACATCTGCAACAAAAGATCTAATATGCAAGCACTGGCATGGTTCCTGTCAATAGACTCAGATGCAGGGTTGCAGAGGGCTGAGAGGGCAGAATCATACGCAACTAATTGATCGCCAAGTTGTCCTCGACTGTTGATGTACATAAGCCATAATACATATGATCTGCTACATTGTTTGACCTGAAAAGTCAGGCGGCAAAAACTGTGAAGCATCAACGCATTCCATAGATGCAAAATTAACGAGTAATTTCGATAATTACTGAAAAAGATGAAGATATGCCAAGACATCTATATATAAGTTTGAAAACTGTAAAACCCTGTGAGAAACCCGTGCCACCAAATTGGATTAATTTGAGTGTATTACAGTCACCAATGTTCTTATTTTATGATATTTATGCAAAGATACACAAACAATCAATCATAATATTCACATGTGCGGATATGAAGATGCAGGCAATATCGTAGCAGGGATAACATACCCCATAAGAAAACATATCTCTCCCATTTGATCCTTCATATGCATAGTAAATCAGGAGATAAACAGTCCAAAGAATCTCAGAAGTTGGGTGACCTTCAAGACCCCGTGAAAGCACAGAAAGGGCCTGAAAAATGTGCCACCAGAATTAGAACAAGAGCTAAATTTAATGCTACACAATATTGACAGGAATCAAACAACATTGCCTGAATCAAGCCTTCTGACTGGTCAACTTCCCGACAGAAAATAATGAGAGCCATTTCCACGGGTTCAACCGCAGCATCTGAACCTTGTTTAAGGAGATTCTACGAATGCACCAAGCAGGTCAGTGCAAGACGGTAGTAAGATTATCAATAAAAGAATACAGCACGAGTCAGATCTGCAGCTAGCTATTAGCATAATT